AGAGTACCAAAATTCATCTTAAAAAGGAAAAACCAAGTTGTAATTCTAATTGGAATAATCGTTAACTACACATACAATGTACATATGGTTTAAGAATACCAATAATAGCAGAACAATTTATAAGTTGTTAAATAAAAAAGATTAAAAGGAAAATATTTTTCAAAGTTAATGCTTGAATAATGACTACTGAATATTAAGAAGTGACCTTTGCTACAGACTATATTAGGATTACTATAGACTGATTGCCTTTCACTTGTATCATGAACTCTACATGAAAGATTATTAGACTATAAAAGTCATGAACAACTTTTAGAGCTTTTGGTTAAGGACAAAATACAATGCACCTTTTTTGTACTACTATTTTGTCCTTTGCCGTAACAAGGAGAAAGTCTGAAAAAGGAATGCTTTCTACAATATGGAAAGGAGTCTAATGGCTGGGAAAAGATGCTGTTTAATAAGTACCATTTCAAATATGTAGGTTCTTAGGAGTCAAGGCCAGAATGGACTTTTGATCATCTAGTCTGAATTCCTGCATAACACAGGCTATAAAACTTCCCCACCACAATTCCTATAGCATCTCTTTTTAAAAACATTGATTTAAAAATTGTCAATGATAGAGAATCCACCAAGATGCTGGGTATTTGGTTCCAATGGTTAATTACTGTCACTTAACAATGTGTGCCTTATTTCCATTCTGAATTTCAAGAGCCCCAGCTTCTAGCTATTGGATCCTGTTACACCTTTCTTTGCTAGACTGAGCAGCCCGTCAAATAATTGCTGTCCAAGTAGATACTTACAGACTGTAATCAAATCTTTCCTTAACCTTCTCCTTGTCTCGTCAGACACAGCATTAAATAAACATACTATAATGTAATTCTATAATGCAGCTAAATATTCTCTAACAGAAATACAATTGCAAGGTGTAAAAGTCAAACCAAGTAAAAAAAGGGCTATTGTGAAGTTTTAAATAAAACCACCACTATAAGAATTTAAGCAAATGTTTTGTATCTGCCAAATAGAATCTTCAGCTAATTAGATTCTGTTGAAGAAAAAATATACTATTGTGACCTTATATGCTTAAACCTATTTCAAACAACTGACCCATTCATCTTAAACATCTTCTCTGTTGCACAAGATAGGTGAAACATTGCAGAAACAGGTAAAACATTGCAGAAACAGAAGTTCAGAAATAATTAAAAGAAAGCCCCTACAAACATGGCAAAACCTTGCTTCCTCAAAATTATTTCAAGATAAAGTCAGAGTGATGAAACCATTCCTACACCTTACAAAAATCCCAGCCACTTTATCAGTTCCTCAAAAACACAGACTAGGACCTACATTTTTACCAGCTCTGAAATTGGATCCTATTACAGTAGATACTAAAAGATCACTGTAAATGCTTTATCTGATATCAGATAAAGAATGATACTTGGTACCTGTTCCAAAACATCAACTATCTTGCCATTTCTCAAAGCTAGAACAGTAGCATATATCTGAATCTTCTTTTACCAATCCTTTCACATAGCTGCAAGTGTGACAGTATCATTCAATACTGCAACAGTTCTCAGAACTGGCACAGTAGTATTATAGGCAGAAAGATGCAATTGCTTTTTTTGCACCTTAGATTTATTTGGGGGAAGAGAAGTTGTTTTAGATCTTTTTTTATTGTTCAGTTTTAGATTTCCTTTAATTTTGTTTAAAAAGTGTCATTACATGCCATTGGGTTTTTTTTTTAAACCATCCTTTTTATGTTTCACACACTAAAAGATACCAGTATAAGTAGCAGAAAGCATACTGAAAGCCAGCAATAGTGTTCTCAGCCTAGTGCAAGTAAAAAACAAAATGAAAACATGAAGCGACATTAAACTGAGTTATGTAAAGATTCTCAGATCTGAATAGTTAAAGTCATTAGTAACACAAGAGGGCTTTTTAAAAAATAATATTTTAATCTTGCCAATGTAAATTTAATATGAATTTACTGCAGTGTAAGGCATTAGACTGAAATATTTACAGTTAAAGCATTCTGACTGCAGTTACTTACGCTGAAGTCTATGAAAGCAACCTGTAGTCTATGTTGTTGTGAACATCAGACAGTCTCCATGTTACCATTAGATGAGTGCCATAAATCAATGTGAACCTTAGAAGCCTAGAAAATCAAAGCTGAAACAAAATCCTTACCCAGCAAGGACTGAAAACAATACTGAATATAAAATACATTTTTTGATCTTGTGTGTTCTATACCCATGTTCCCTCTTCCACATTAAAAAGAAACCAGATATTATTTTTGGCCTCCAAACACTGTATCATATTGTATTGGCCTCCAAACACTGTATCATATTGTATAGAATGAGCTCAATTATTTTAATGGCAAAATTCTTCACCCGCGTTAAATTGTACACAAACTACTATATGCTATGTTAAGTATTAAGGTTTTTTAATTAAAAATGCATGATTATCTCTGAATTATAAATCTAACTAATTGTCTCACTAATGGAAGGAAAACATAGCATATGCCCCTCTCAACAGCAAAGAAGAGTTGCTTCCAAATAAAGCAAGACTTAAAGATTTGTCTATAACTGATCATGTGAAGGATCACATGAGTACTTGCTAATTCTTCACTCTACTCAGAGTACAAATGGATGTGCACAAGGTTGTCAACAATTCAAGACTTAACGTAGGACTCGCATGGTAACACAACCAATGGCATCCTAAAGGACACCACTGAATTTTATGTGAAAGGTGAAAAAGTTTAACAATGTATAGAAAATTCATAGTTCGGATTATTTTTTCTATGTAATACATGTTTCACTTTAGTGATAAAGAAGTCTATTACATTCATAAAAGTGTATCTATTCCTTCACTGTCCTTACATTCCTTTCCTCCAATATCCATCTTACATGCCTATTAACAGAACTTAAGCATGGGAAACACTACTTCACTGTTCTCTGGCTGTTTATTATCACAACCTTGATTTCAACCAGTTAATTAGTATGAGATTACAATACAACACATCCAAACAGTTTAAGCAACTAAGAATACTACTCTGTTCAGATAAGAATTGCTTATTTTATTTTACCTGTGTACTTTTTCATTAAAATTTTATTTACCTAGAGTTGAAAAGACGACAAACACAGCAAAGAGCACTTGTGTATGTTACTCTGAGATTTAATCTCCAAGCTAAACCGGGTTTCCAGATGAACATTTCAAAAATATAAGGATATAGGTCTAAGATTTGTTAAACCTCCAAAGCTGTGTAATACATGAACACTACCATTCTCCTTTTCAGAGAAAAAACATGTTTACAGGGAGCCTATATAAGATGGCAATGGTAGCAATATTTCATGTGTCTTCAATGCAAGCCAAGGCCAGGTATGCTATTTTGCAAGAGCTGAATTACTGTAGCAATCAGTAATAAGTCACAGGAATGTGCAGACATTTAGTTGATGTTTAATTGGAACATGCTTAGCAAGATGCATATGCAGCAATACAAATCAATTTTACACTAGCCTTCCTCAGATTGCTCGAAAATGAATAAACTACACACATCTGAGATAGAACAAAGTAAGAAACTACAACTATAGCTCCCAACAGGTATATTTGAGATATTATTCAAGTGAAAATAATGCCAATAATACAAATAATGGAGTTATTTAAATAGTCTTTAAGAGCAATGATATCTGACCTCTACAAAAAACAAATAAGTAGTCATAACTAGTTAGCATCCCTGACAGCATGACAATCCAACCTATTTTTTGAGACATTGCTGTGTCACTTTTAACACTATTAACCCACTTACATCACAAAAACATTGGTTTACAGACCACATGAATCAGAAAACTATTTAGAAAATTTAAATAATGTATTTGCACACAAAATAAGTCATTTTACAGTGTTGGCTATAACCACTAGACACATATATTATGCCTGTTATGCCCTTTTTACTACCCATAACTATGTATGAGTACTACAATTCACACACAATACTATCACCTGAAGAAATCTTGTGACAACACAACACATGATCAGAAAATGTTCTTCCTACTGGTATTAGTTTTGTCCAATTTCTTAACCATAGCTTTTTACCATCTGATCAGCATTAGTTAAGCCATTTTTTCTGCTATCCAACAAAAGCTTCTTTAAAGCTTTATAGCTGACAAGGTGTCTTATAAAGGCAATAGGTGCTGTTAAGACAATTGAGCCCTATAATAAACAATACAATGAAAAGTGATCAAATATTTGTAGTTAAGAACAAAGAAATCTGATCTTAAGACTGACATGATTGTTTCCTCAGAGTTACACTGTCATTGGAGAAAGATGAGTATTTTAGCTCTAGTTTTCAAATCAAACAATTACTGACATTTAAGGTAAGTCATATTGCAAAACATTAAAAAAATAAAAGACCACTTTTTTTTAAATCAAGAATATATTGTAACTAGTGATCCTTACACAAGGCTTCTAAAAACAGTGAGCAACAAAATGAAAACAGTTTCACTGCTGAAACACCTACAACCTCAATTTTCGAACAAGAAATATGCATAAAATTAGGAAGTTATAAGACTGCAAATATGGTGCATGTCCTTTTCATATCCATTTTGCAACCAAAACATCTATGCCCTGAAGATATGAAATGTGAGAAGACTGATAAAATGGGTTTCAATACTGGACTGTCACAGAAGAGGGGGAACTTCAGCTTCAATTTTCCATCAACGTCCCGATCAGACTGAGTCTCTGCATTTTTTCTAGTATAATTACCCAACACAGATCGATAAAAAAAAAGGTGGAGGACTCGGACTGTCAATTTCAATACATCCTACCCCACTGGTGAACCATCAGCGGTGCCACGTTAACAGCTATCCCAACTTGGGTGTGATGCACGCCTTCAACATCGGTTTAACAGCAGTTGCATAATAAGCCCCCAAAAGGCCAAATTCTTTTCCTGCGTCGTTGTTCCGAGCGGGCGGTGGGCAACGCAAGGGGCTCACACGGGAGCTGAGCATTACCTGAGTATCATCACCGGCATTGCCACTAGCGAGCTGGTTACTATGCAGCAAAGCACAAGCAGGCACCTGGCGCCCCAACGCGCAGATGCCCCCACGGAGAGGCGGTTCTACGGAGGAGCCTTTCCCTGCTCCACAGAGCCGGGCTGGGGAAAGCGGCGGCTGCTCTCGGCAGCCTGGCTGGGAGCCGGGGAGCGCGGCGGCCGGAGGAGAGAGACCGGCTCGCTGCTCCCCTCCGCGCCCATGCTCCGAGAG